AATACTGCTCGCTCCCCAGGGCTGCTCCCCTGTGGTCCAGAGAGGCTGGAAAGCCACCCTCCAAGCCCTGGGAAACCGCCGCCAAGTGCGGGCCACTCAGCACCCCGCTGCTCTCCTGCAGCTCCTGACCGACAGCCGGCCAGCTACCAGAGGCATGCTCACGGGGTCTCCTCGCCAGCACCCCACGTTAGCCATGGGTTTGGCCCTCCCAGAGGTGTGAGGTCTCCTCTCCACGAGGGTCGGGGGATGTGAGAACAGGGCAGGGGAGGACACAAAAACAGTAGTCCCAGCAAGGCGGCCGCTCCCCACCCAACGAAGGCCTGCAGGAAGAAAGACGGCCAAGGCGAAGAACGAGGCTTGATCTGCAGGTCACCTGTAGGAGGAGGTTCCTGTCCCTGATGGGTTACAAGGAGGTGAGCGGTGACACATCCCTGCTGAGCAATCCAGCTGTGACAATGAAGCCAGTGCACCGGTGCTGAGGGAACCCCTCCCCCCGGCGCACGCAGGGCAGCCGGTGTGTCGACTAGGAGCTCCGTTCCTTTTTCAGATGTGAGTGCACGTACTTGTGTGGGTTTGGTGCATGTGCATATATTTGTGTGCAAGTGCGCGCACGTGTTTGTGTGTGTATGGGTTCATAGATGTGTGCACACGTCTATGTGTACCCGAGTCAGTGTGAATGTGTAGCTATAGGGGTGTGAGTGTGTGCACATATTTGCGTGTGTGTCCCTAAACTTGTGAGCAGTGTGGGTTGCATGGTTAGGTGCACATGTGAATGTGCAGACGTGTACGTGCGTGCATGCAAATGTCTAAGCTAGAGCAGGTGTGAGCTCTGTGTAGGGGGGGGGGGTGTTCAGGTGTTTCTCCGCACGGGACGCAGGGAAGGAAATGAACCAGGCTGCCAGGAGGGGCTATCTCTGGGAGGGTGGAAGGGGCAGAGACAGGTTTTTCCCTCTCTTTACCAGTTTGAATCGTATTTGACTTTAACGTCTCCATTTCTCAGGACTTCCGAGTTGAGGGCTCAAACAAAACAAAGCCGCCCCCCCCGCCCCC